GAAATTTTAGTCTGCATTTTTAAAGACTTTCTTTGTGATATAAGACATAGTGGATTAAATAAAAAGAAATGCCCTAAACTAAATGTGGAGTTATTTATTTCTGAACGCTGCATCCACACATAAAGACAGAGCTGGCTGTAGGTTCATTGGTGCCCAGGGCGAGAGGGGCCCTTTGCCGCCCCCTCCCGTACAGTTTGTGCTCTTCCCAAAAGGCAACATTACGATTATTGCTGAATTATTCATGTTTTATTTGAAATGCTCAAACAGAAACTTTTTATAAGCAATAACCCCAAGAATAAATTTAAGCTTGATGGATAGAATTACAATATTGCAATAACTAACAACTACAAATTTGTACCAAATCAAAAGCAATATAATCAAAAGAAAAACTAAAATATCAAGGTTAATGCAATATATTTTAAAGGCAAGAGCCAAAAAGAAGAAATGTAAACTTGATTAGTACCGTTAGATCAACTAATCACATTAACCAAATGTTTTTTTTAAAACAAGAACCAAACTAAATCCAGCACAGAACAGTGCAATCAAAAGTTAAAACCCAAAAATATCAAAGTGTCATTGTGAAGACATTTCTACTTTATATTTTGGTCATCTTTATTATAAATAAAACTTTAAAACATTATTTATTATATTTATTTGCTAAAGCGCCTTCTTTTTAGGTTTGGAGAAGCTGGAAAAGATTATTTCCCCAATTTAATCATATTAACCATATAAAGCATTTTAGCATTTATAGAGATTTAAAAATTCAATATTTAAAAGAAAATTTGAAATGAAAAGTTAACTATAAAAATATGTTTTTTTTATGTTTATAGATCAGTATTAGTAGCCCTTCCTATGACTGAGTAGCCCTGAAGAAGTCTTCAGTCTTAAAAAGGTTGGTGACCGCTGTTATAGGTCATCAAATCATTGTCAGTTTAGTCTAATGCTACGTTCAGACCGCACACTGCTGGAGCAGCAGAAGCAGCTGGTTTACATACAGAGTCAATGGTTGACGTGCATCAAGTTGCAGCAAAAGGTCCATCCAGCTGCCAAGAACAGTAGTGGCAAACACCTGAGTGGCAACCGGGCCAGAGGCTGCTGTTGCTGAGGATTTCCAGTGATAGAGCATCGCCAGTGTACGGGGGATTTGTGCTGGTCCGACCGCAAAATAATATTTATTAAAAGGTAGGGTTGGAATCTTGGTAAACTGACTGTCATTGAACACAGGAGCAGCAGAAGCATCTGATGCATCTGGACACACTTTACAGGACACGCTTCGGGGCATCAATGATGATGTTGAGACGCGTTGGACCTTAATGTGTACAAGCATCAAAAATGAAGCAGCGGGTGCTTTTTTGCTGCTTCTATTTCAAGCGGGTTTGAACGTAGCATAGGAAACTGCCTGTAGATCAATTCAGTACTATTCAATTCAGTTTATTTATATAGCGCCAATTCACAACACATGTCATCTCAAGGCACTTTACAGTTCACCCGATCATCCTTTCAAATTGATTCAAAGCTTCCTATCTAAGTAAAACCAGTTGATTGGATCGACTCATCGACTCGAATGCAATCTCTCACTCTAACCATGCTTGTAGCGACAGTGGAGAGGAAAACTCCCTTTAACAGGAAGAAACTTCCAGCAGAACCAGGCTCAGTGTGAGCGGCCATCTGCTGAGTTCAAGGAGACAGAAGCAGACATAGAAAAAGAAGCAGAGACACAAAAGGCAACTGTAAATGGCATACCCATCCAGGAAACACACAGCCAGGCAGATGAGCTCTGAGCCAACTCCCTACACTGAAAAACAGGCCGATCTCCAACATCTATAAACAAAGGTGTTGATGGCAGCAGCACAGCTGATATTTCTCTCCAGGAGTCACAGCCAAACAGGAACAGACCAGATGAAGCTACTATGAAGAAAAGCAGAGAGAGCATAATGTTAGATATTGAACAAAACGAATCTGCAGAGTGGGAGAATAGAACTAGAATAATGAAATGGGGGTCCCTATGTCCTTGTGATGGCTGCCACTACAGCCACCCAAATGCGGTAACATTTAATCACATCAAACAATAGGTCAGCCAGTCTCTTTACATTTATATTAGGATTTCTTTAAATTTAGGATTTAATTTACTGAATAATTTTTGTAAGGAAAGGCCTAACACTGTATTCTGGAATAAGTGCACACATTTTAGTTTACACTGTTATGTTCTGCTTGATTTAATCTTTGTTTGTTTTTGAGTCACCTCAGTGCCGGCTGCTCCAGTCCTTCAAGAGAACAGAGGTGGAGAAGGGGGTGGATCCAGCCTATTGAAACTGCAAATTGGTTTACACCACTACTCATCAGCAAGAGGGGGGGAATGGGATTTTCCTCTGTTAGTTTCAGTTAGGTTTTTGTGTATTTCCCCCTGTGTATCTTCTATGTGGCCGGATCAGCCAGTATTTAAGTTTTCCGTCTTCTTTATGCTGTAGGTCTGTTTGTTTCAGTAGGTCTTTTTGTTAGCCTGAGTTGAATTCTGTTACTTTGACCTCTTTTATGGGCCCAACTTTGTAATTTGTTCTTTATTGACCCAAGTTTGGGTTCAATCAAAAGAATACTTTTTGAATCTAAACCTGTGCCTGAATTTCCTTTGGCTGATCAGACCATCACAGTCCTCCAGCAGTCTAAGCCTATAGCAGCATAATAGGGATAACCTGAGCCACTCTAACTATAAGCTTTATCAAAAAGGAAAGTTTTAAGCCTAGCCTTAAAAGTAGACAGGGTGTCTGCCTCACAGACTAAAACTGGTAGTTGGTTCCACAGCAAAGGACCTTGATAACTAAAAGATCTGCCTCCCATTCTACTTTTAGAAATCCTAGGAACCACTAGTAAACCTGCAGATTGAGAGCAAAGTTCTCTGTTAGGAACATAAGGAACAATCATATTGCTGATATGAGATGGAGCTTGGCCATTTAAGGCTTTATATGTGAGGAGGAGAAGTTTCAATTCTATTCTATTGTAGTGATTTTAAGTGTCCAGCTGGTGTATGTATTAAGTGATACAGCATCGACAGAGTATCAATACAGTTTGTCAATGTGTCAAAGAGCTTCATGATGCCTCATGAACCCATCAGCAGAGGGTTTCTCAGCTTCACATAGAAACACCCTAGCATTAGCCTATGTTCTAGGATCTGTCACTTCCTCTGGTTCCCTTTTAAAGGAATAGTACACCCAAAACATGATTAGCCTTCATTTTCTACTCACCCCCATGCTGAACAACACTCTGGAGTACTTTTTTGATATCTCAAATGCATCTGGAGATCTGGGAGGCTTCTTGCTGTCTGCTGACATTCAAATAATGGAGGTCTACAGTGCCCGAGACAGAAAGGTCCATAAAAGTCCACAAAAACGTGTCAATATTCCTCCATACTGCTCTTCCAATGTATTCCAAGTGTCCTAAGTGGGTAGCATCCAGAATTTACTCGAAACGAAGTCATTTAGATTGTTTTTAGAGCATAAACAGTAGTGTATAGGATTTTCCTGAAAGCGCGCGCCAGCGCGTTCAGGACGCTACGGAAGCCGGCAGACCAAACCAGATGAAAGTGCGCATTCAGCGTCTGCTCTGCCGATAATGCAAGCGTAGAAGAAGAAATGTGCTGTTTACCTGTGCAAAGAAAGAAAAAACGAAAGAAAAATGTCTGAGGACTTCAGTGTTGAGGAAGAGCATGAGTTCTTTGCCGAGCTGAATGCGCACTTTCATCTGGTTTGGTCTGCCGCGGTTTCCGTAGACTCGTGAATGCGCTTTTAGGAAATCCTATACACTACTGTTTATGCTCTAAAAACATTCTAAATGACTTCGTTTCGAGTAAATTCTGGATGCTACCCACTCAAGACACTTGGAATATATTGGACAAGCAGTATGGAGGAATATTGACACGTTTTTGTGGACTTTTATGGACCTTTCTGTCTCGGGCACAATAGACCTCCATTATTTGAATGTCAGCAGACAGCAAGAAGCCTCCCAGATCTCCAGATGCATTTGAGATATCAAAAAAGTACTCCAGAGTGTTGTTCAGCATGGGGGTGAGTAGAAAATGAAGGCTAATCATGTTTTGGGTGTACTATTCCTTTAAGGATAACCAAAACAATATACCAAAAACAACCACCAGTGGGAGCTCTAGGGGATTTACAAACACTAATTATTACAAACACTAATTCAGTACAACTCAGAAAAGGCTGAACAATGCCTCAGACAGCCAAACATGGGGATATGGGACTTTTTAACATAATGCAGCTGCAAACAAGTGGAATTTTCTAATTGTTGAACTATTGAAGATCACAGAGCGTGTAAAAAATAGAAATTGGTTTTCTCATTTTTAACTATCTGTTCTGTACTGGTGTCATGACCAAATTCATTTCCAGATTAACCTTCAAACCTCCAAGGTTGTTAAATAAGCAAACTAGGAACTTCAGGGATGCAAAATTCAAATCTGAAATTCAATCTAGATATCTGACAAAAAAACGTAGCCAGTTTAATATAGTTAAATGGTTTATTTGCACATTTATTGTTGTAAGCAGAACATCTAAAATTTCCCTTTGTAAACCTCTTCCTTTATCAGTTGAAATAACTGTTATTTTTCTATTTTCTTCCTTCTCTTGGATTTCTTGTTCTGGATTTTGATGTATGGTGTATATAGTATATACCATTATAGTATATATCATGGTACATCGCTACACCCAGCAGGTAAGGAAGGTGGATCAGTTGCTGCCAAAATACAGAAAATCGTCCCAATCTCTGATAATCTGTATTTTTATTTACTTTGTTTTCTCTGCTCTTTTGGGATTACCATGTTCTTCTCCTGTTACCTTAGTTTCCAAACACCGAAAACAATGAAGGTCTATTAAATGTTATAATAAAGAATAAAACTTTAAGCAAGATTATTTGCATTTCAGAGATATCTAGGGGGGAAAATTCACTGCAGAACACATTTAATAACAGTCAATACAAATAAAATTACATACATTATGCTACAGTTAATTGGGTATCCTACTGTTAACCTTTGCTCATTGGCGTCTTCTAGGCTTAGAACATTTGCTTTAGAGGAGACCAATTTTATAATTTGGACTGAGTGTGAGCAGCACTGCAGCTCAGGTGAGCTAGAAGGAAATCTCGCATCTTCTTCCACAGGTGGAGTTCAGCTGCAGCATGAGCTTTGGGCTCTCCACCCCACACCACTGGAAACCTGAGCAACCAGTGCAAAGCGGAGGCGCAGTGCGGTCCATAAGGAGGTTCTAGTAAATGTCCGGCTGCAGGGTAAGTCACGCTCTCAAAGTTCTTCTTCCCATGGCGCTTCAGTCTCTCCACCATGTGGTCCAGGTACCCCTTGCTGTCCCAGTTCAGGTCGTCCTCAGAAGCCACAAAGAGGAAATGTCCATCGGCTCGTTCAATGGGAATGACGCTGCCTTGGTTCTTCTCAGCCAGAGGGTCTTCAAGAACATACTTGACCAATTTAGCGCCCGACTCGGTGGGAAGCACCTTCCTCAAGTTAAACATCAGTGGCGAGAGGATCTGACGGTTCTTATAATAGAGGGGAATGGCGACGTTGGAGCTGCAGCCGTTAATCCACACCACAGCTGCAATCCCTTGCACAAAAGCAGCGAGTGAAAGAGCAATGTCGCACCCCTTCGATTGAGATATTACTCCAACTCCTTTACTGCTCGCCTGCAAAAGACAAAAAAAATTAACCTCAGAGAAAGTTACTGTATTACAAGGAAATGTGTTTGCTGCCTATTTCTAAAATGATCCTGTTGTTAACCAGCTGTTTTTTTTTTTTTGTTTTTTGTTTTTTTTTAGCTCAGCTTAAAATGTTCCTCACTTTGGCCGATTTAGATTAGAAGTACTTTCATTCAAAGTTTTTTTGATTTTCTTTCCTTTTCACCTTTGCACTTTAATATTAACCAATTACAGTGCTGGCCAAATGTTTTTGCACCCCTTCAATTCTGTCAGGTATTGCTCCATTCCTCCAAAAAACGTATTGAAATTAGAAGTGCTTTGATATTATTGTCTTCATTTATTTTTGCAGCAAATGAAAAAAACACAAAATTAATTGTCAAAAATCCAAATAAAAAAAAAAATTCCGCACCAATCATAAAAAATGGGTAACAGTATCGGCACCCTTTGAAAAATCATGTGATGCTTCTCTAATTAGTGCATTTAACAGCACTTTTTTAATATAACAGGTGGTGGCAATAACTAGATCACATTTGCAGCCTGTTGGAAGGATAAAGATGACTCGACCTCAGTCCTGTGCTTTTGTGTGTAGTACCATACTGAGCATGGAGAAATGAAAGGAGACCAAAGAACTGTCTGAGCTCTTGAAAAGAAAAATAGTGAGAGAGCAAGAGAAATCTCAAGGCGGCAAGTCCATCTGCGAAGAACTGAATGTTCCTGAGTCGACCGTGTGCAGCATAAACTGTTTAATTAATTCAATGAAATTAATTCAATGAACCACACATTTCATGAAGCTTCATGTTAACATGTCACCACCTACTGGTGGAAAGCATAACTACAGTTAGCAATATAATCTGTGATATTTTGCAATTGTTTTTTTTTTTCAATTTAAGTTCCTTTGAAAAGTTTTTTGATTGGTGTGTAAAACAAAATCTTTTGTACGTTTTTTTTTTTTTTTTTTTTTTTTTTTTTTTTTTTTTTTTGCAAATTGGGCAACGAAGGGCAAAATGAAAGGTGTTGGTCATTTTTATAAAAAAAAATAGTTTTTGGTTTTAATTTGGTTGGGAGGTTATAACCGACCAATCTTTTGGTGAAAACAACCAATCTACTTTGGTAAAAGGGCAGACCATTACAAATTAATCATTTTGGCCAAAGTGCTGGTTAAGTAGTATAGCAGCTTTCAAATCCAAGACCAAGTCTTGAACCATCAACCTTGGATTAAAAAGCTTATAGCACAATACTTTCAACACTAATTTCTCCGTAGAAAGCAATTCTACTGAATGCTAATATTACAACTAAAGCCAGTGGCTTGGTCATTTTCTGATCATTACATTGTTTAACCAAAACAATTTTAACCAACTAGATTGGTAATACCAGGCAATCTATTCTTAGAATATATTCAAACTCTATCCAACTAACAGCAACTCTCCTACACACTGCCCCATCTTGACTGAATACTGAGGCTGTTTAAATGCCTGTCGAAGTTCGTGGGCGAGCTGAACCACTTCCGAAGTGGTCACATGGTATGGTGATAGCATGGCTTTAGACGTCATCAATTGTGGCCTATCCCCTAAATGAGGCAAGACTCTATACGCGCTTCACGGAAACACCCCCTCCACTACTCGACACACGCCTCGAAGCCTCGGCACATCTCATAACATCTCTAAAGCCCATGGCGCTGTGACTAACCTCCCTAGATGTGAACAGAAGAGAAACACAAAAGATTTAAACTAAAGATTGGACAGTTGATGAATAAATAACCTTGACTAATATCCAAAAAGGTTCAAGTTGTCCTGCAGTCTGACGGTACATCATCGGGACTTATCTTCCCTCCATTAAAGACATTTCATCCCAGCGCTGTGTGTGAGCCCGTAACGTCATAAATGACCCCTCACACCCCCAACATGGACTGTTCTCCCTGCTGCCCTCTGGGAAGTGGCTTTGAAGCATCAATGCAGGTCCAGCAGGTTCCAGAACTGCTTCTTCCCCACCGCCATTAGACTGCTGAATGTTGTATAAAATTGGGTTAATAAAAAAAACAACAAAAAAAACCTGAATGTTGAAAACTATAAATCATATCACAGTCTATGTTTACGTTTTATCACTGCTGCACTTTAAAAATGAAAATGTCTTGAGAGCTGCAGTGAACGAAATTTCGTTTGGTATACACTCTTTGTGTACAAAATGACAATAAAGTCTGCCTAAGTTTAAGTCACTGACTACCTGTACTATCAGTCGGCTTCTGAATTAAGACTGACTCTATGGTAGGATACCTAGGAGTACCACACTTCTGACTCAGAGAACCAAAACTTACCAGAGACAGACATAAATGCTTTTTGGAAGTAGTGCTTGACCTAGTGCATTATATTATACAATCCAAAAACTACCAATTACATTTAGCAGAACAATGTAAGGCCCAGTGTGAGAAAGCTGGGTCTTCCTTAGAGGTCATGAGTCCTCCAGCAGGACAATGACCCAAAACACACTTCAAACAAGTGTAGTAAATGGATTGAAAGAACGCAAAGGAGACTTCTAAAGTGGCCAGTAATGAGTCAAGACCTGAATCCCATAAAACAGCTGTGGAGAAATCTCAAACCGGTAGTTTGGAGAAGATACCCTGCAACTGTCAGAGACCTGGAGCAAGAATGGTCTAAAATTCCAGCACAGCATTGTAAGAAACTCATTGATGGTTATCGGCGGCAGTTGTTCAGATATATTTTGTCTAAAGGTTGTTCTACCAAGTATTAGGCTGAGGGTGCCAATACTTTTGTCCAGGCCATTTTGGAGCTTTGGATGAAATAATTGATGTGACTTTCTTTCATTCTCTTTTGTGTTTTTTTAACATATTAATACCAAAACATTTGTAATTTAAATTCTTCTGGTCTGATACTGTTAGGAATCCAGTTTATGTGGGTTGTTTGTGTTTTCTCCCTCCACCACCAGGTGGCGCCCGGTTTTCGTTGGCCCTTCCACACACCTGCGGATGGTTGGCTCATTATCTGAGGACTCTTAAGCAGCTGACTGCCACTACCTCGACGCCAGAGTGTTTGCCAGTTTTTGGTACTCTAGCCAAGCTGAGTTTAGCTGAGTCTTTTCTCCCTGAGCTCTAACCTTGTTGTTTTTGTCTTTGCCTCTCGGCAGGAAGTCATTCTGCAAAGTGGATGTTTTGGCCTTCTCCCCCTGGAAGGATCGTTTGAGCTTCACACTGAGCAGGGGATGCAAACTGGATGTTTGGACCATCTCCCCCTGAAAGGATCGTTTGAGCTTCACACTGAGCAGGGGATAAATCTCCACATGTGCCGTTCAAGTTCTCCTGGAAATCTAAATGGCAGTCAGCTCCATTGCTCCTCAGGGAACCAACCTAACCTAAGTAAAACCCTCCAACGAGTCAACCAAGTTCTGGAATAACCCGCATCGACTGGATTCACCCTTTTCTGAAAACGTGAGTCCCGTTTCAGTCTTTGTTTTTGCATGCCGTCCAAGTTTCCTACGGAACCTGAACTAAACGCTGAACTTCCCTTCTCACTTCCAGTTCCGGTTCACCAGCGTTCTGAGTAACTCTGGATCCACACATCGTGCTCTCAATAAACCTGTTAAACCTTTTCTCTGGTTCTCTGAGTGGTTTCCTGCATGTGGGTCAGATCCCTTAAAAAGAACATGACAGATACCTGCTTTGATGGATCAATGGACGGATGGATGGAAGGAAGGAAGTGTTTAATTCTATATTTTTCAGTCATTAGTCAGCAACAAAACACATCATATTCATTAAAGGCGAAGAAGTTTTAAGCAAAATTTTAGCATTTTGGACATTTCTCATCACCTTAGGCTGATTTTGTAAGAACCGTACTGCTTCTTCAAAGTCGTCCAGATTCATCCTTTCAAAGTTTGGTTTGTCAATGAACACAGGTAACGCCAGAACCATAAAGCCTTTGTTGGCCAGCAGAGAGGCCCTTTTCTCTGACATGAAGGTGCACAGATCCAACACAGCAGGAAACGGACCCTCTCCTGACAAAAAAGACATGAAGTTAATTACTCATTTCTAAATGATAAAATCCAGTTCAACTTTTTCAAACAGTTTTGTATTCCACATTGATTTATAAATGGACCTTTTGGTGCACTCAGCTGTTTGGGCTTTGATAAATAGGTTTTGTAAAATCAAATGCAGTGAATACCTGGGGGTATAAACAGAACTCCTTGAATGTTCCCCTTTTTGACGGGAACTCTGCTGACTCCGTCTCCGATAAGACGCCTCTCATTGGTCGCCTCTGCCAGCTTCCTGCCCTCCTCGTCGTGCACAGACAATTTCACCATGAAAGGTTCCAGCGCTCTGTTCTTATAGAAGTATTTGTGCAAAACATCTGCTTTCAGTGACCGTAGCAGACCCATGGGTTCCACACCTACGTAGCTCCCACTGAGCGCAGCGTCTCTTTTCAGGTCAATCTCCCCTCTATCATCTGCCCTGTAGCTTGCAGAAGAATTGAACACCAATCCTCTCTCGTCAGTGGAGCTGGCTCTCATGGTGACCACCTGCTTGGACCTCAGACCGGCCACCTTCACCTGGATGGGCTCGTCGAACAAACACCTGGCGCTGGGCAGCAGCCTCAGCCTGACTTGGGCCGACATACTTTCTGAGATTAAGACAAAACACATCTTCAGTTGGATATCATAATATAAAAAAAGAATGGCAAAACAAGAAACATAATTTCACGTTATTATAAAGAACTCTACCACAGAGCTGTTTTTTTTATCATACAAAGTCTCTTACGTTATGTCTCTAACAACAAGCTAAATGTATTAAAGCCAATTCACCGTAATTCTGAAAATGTACTTCTCAGTCTTAAGAAGTTATGAAGTAACACTTATGAAATAAAAAAGCATAATCAGATAAAAACCAAGCAAGTCTGAGATATGGTTAATGTTTTTGACCTTTGACATAAGATTTAGGTTCTTAAATGCACTATTATAAAGTCAAACGTATGCTACAGAAAAATAATCTCAGCCTTTAAGCATCAAAGCTATGAAAATCAGTCAATGATGAGTTGAATTTTCTATTTTTACATTTAGAATATGGGGTCATTATTACAACAGAAAACTGATATAGATGCTGTGAAAATCTGAGAAATGGGAAATCCTTTCAACCTTTTAAATAAAGAGATTTAAATCATACTTTGAACTACCATTACTAAACTAAACAAAAAATCTCTGATATATCAGTTTGTGATATATCAGAGCAATCAAATCTATCAACAGGATGAATTTTGACTTTATATGGAAACAAAAAACTCACTATATTGTTGTCGAAAAATGTTTATCTTTCTTCTATTACGGTATATATTAATTTATCCTATTTACTCACTCTAAAAGTTTTCACTCAGTGTGTTTCTCTCTCAAGGCCACACATTTCTCTCCAGGCTGGTGTTTGTAGACCAGACATAGCTTTTTCCCATAACAAATCAGATTCTTTCTTAAGGTTTATTCATCACATGTTACTGTTAACCAAAGTGTGTGTAATTTGTTTTGACTTTGACTACTTTCCATTGTTGTAAGTAAGGGGGAACGAACGCTGTCCAGATCTGAACAGAGCAGAATGCTGTGCCATCAGGGCTGCATGATGAACTGTTCTCTCTCTTGCAAAGATATTAATAAATGTGCCGACTGAGTGAAATCCATTGATTTCCGTTTATTTAACTAGGATGAATAGTTGAATACTTTTTTCCCACGACAGCATGAATGGCACTTAATAGTAATTGGCTTCGGTCTTTTTTATTAAATCAAAATCAATTATGGTTCTATATTCCAAGTAAAATATTTTCAAACCTGGGCAGAATTAGTTTTCTTCTTAGATGTGACTTTGATATTAAACAAAAACTACCTGTTAAACTTTCCTTCTTTCACCAGCAGATTTTATTATATTGGAGATTAATCTATAAACATAACTACAGCCCACACAATACTCCCTTGTGGAATTGCCATTACATAAAAGTGAATACTAAATGAATCTTTGCACTTAATTGGCTAGAACAAGGTGTTTGTTTGCATTTGCTAAATAATGGAGGGATTATGTCTTATGAAGACTTCAGTATTAAATATAACTTGCAGATAACCAAAAGTGAATTTCAAAACATTATTAGAGCTATTCCCCCAAATATTTTATGTACAGCTAAAGGTTTTTATGAGAACCCTGTATACAGAACCCCTGTGCTACCTGGACTTCTGATTAATGGGCACAGTATCACAGATAATAAACAAAAAATAATAATAAAAGCTCAAAAATTAGGGAATGCTTTACTAGTACTTTGTTTCCTTTTGTATTAAACCCACATTTTATACGGCATTTCTTCTCCAAGTCTGAAAGAGTTAAAATTAGAATAAATTATTTAAATCTTCCCATTCCTCCAAAACCAAAGGAAGTCCACTTTAAAATCTTTACAGGTGTTTACCCCTCTAAGGAATTTCTTTGACTTCGATTTGCCATTGATGATAACACTTGTTTATTTTGCGACGGTGATATTGAATCAACTGAACATCTTTTCAATGATTGTATGTTTTGCAAAGTTTTGTGGGATGATGTGCACTACTGGCTTTTCCCCAAAATTCCAAACTTACCTGAATTCTCTAAGAAAGATGTTATTTTTGGGACTCTGAGAAAAGAAAGGACATTTGAAAGACTAGTCTTACGTTTTGGTAGGTTTGCTGTAGTTTTGTACTTTTGTCTGCTTTCAGACAGTATGCACACTCTTTACAAACAGCCTGTTTACTAATGAGAGGATGGCTGACAGCAGCTCTTTACACTGATTTTATTAAGGGACTAAATAATAAAAGTAGGGGCAAAGACAAAAATACATTTTCCAGAACTTAATAACAAAAAGCAAACATAGGACAACAAACTACCCTTTCTGGACTGCCTGGTGAGCATGGAAGGAGATGGAAGCCTAAACATTGAAGTTTATAGGAAACCTACTCGCACAGACCAGTATCTTCTTTTTGACTCACACCACCCACTGGAACACAAACTCTCAGTCATCAGAACCTTACAACACCGGGCAGAACATGTCCCCACTAAAACAGATGGGAAGCAAAAAGAACAGAAACACATCAAAGATGCTCTCCGAAACTGTGGATATCCAAACTGGGCTTTTATCAAATCAGCAAGGAAATCCAAAAGACACGCAACAGAAGGCAGCGATGGGAAAATTAAACGCAAAAACATCACAATCCCTTATGTTGCTGGAGTGTCTGAAAAGCTCAAGAGGATTTTCTCCAAACACAAGATCCCAGTACATTTCAAGCCAAACCAAACCCTTAAACAGAGGCTAGTGCATCCGAAAGATAAAACCCCCAGACCAAATATGAGCGGAGTGGTATATGCTGTTCAGTGCAGCGAGGAATGCTCTGATCTTTATATTGGAGAAACCAAACAACCTCTCCACAGACGCATGGCCCAACACAGAAGAGCGGCCACCTCTGGACAAGACTCCGCAGTACACCTACACCTTGTGGACAAAGGACATTCTTTTGAGGACCAGAATGTCCATATTCTGGATAAAGAAAATAGGTGGTTTGAGAGGGGCGTGAAGGAAGCCATCTATGTTAAGAGAGAAAAACCAACTTTAAACAGAGGTGGTGGACTGAGATTCCAGCTTCCAAAAACATACAATTCAATCATAGACATGATCCCTTCCAGATACCACCAAACCCCCCACCCCATCACAGAGGAACGATGGACTTACCCGCTCCAGCCGGTGAACAATACCTCCTTAACGACCAACCCACAACAATCATAGACAGGTTTCAGGTATTACAGGAGACAATCCCCCCCTTAATGACATTCCCCCTTTAACGACCGACCCCTATAATCATAGACAGTTTCAGATATTACAGGCTAACGATGGAACTAACGACCCATTCATCGGTTTCTATTGCATGTTTCCAAGCGATACAAGGCCTTGTCCATATAAGACTCAAACTCACTGCGGATCCAGACATTTGAATTGAGAAAGCTTCCTGGAGAGGTGGCGAAACGTCTTCAAATCTTGAAAACCAAGTCCAGTGGATATTTTTTGAATTTTTACGGAATTAATAACAAAAAGTTAAACTTTTTTTTTTAACTGCCTGCTATGCACTACATTTTCTTCTGTCATTTAAAATTAAAAAGGTTTGTGATGGATATAAAACAGAGCATTAAAAAGAGGAGTGAATAGGCTACTTTTGTACAGCCCTATATGCAGGGCCCCTGGCTTTGCCAACAGGCGGCGCAATCAGCTGGCTATGACGCCATCTGCTGGGCAGGCTACAAAAATGCAGAATGGAAAAATAAAATTAAAAGAAAAAAATAAATTTATGTATTAGGAAACTGTTCACACGCCAGACCTTTTAAGTTTTTACTTTAAAAACACCTAAAATAGTAAATTAAAGTAAAAACTGAGCCATAATCACCATCACTGGTTAAGGCAGGCTTATATTGCTAATACAACAGTTTAAAGGGATAGTTCGGTATTTTTGACATGAATCTGTATGGCATCCCCATCACCAGTGGCATGCAATCACACTGACTTACCCCTGGCAGCGTCCTGTGAGCAGAGTTATCGTCCAGTTTTGGTCAAGCCGAAAGTAGTCCGGAAGGTTTTTAGGAACAGCGAAATAAAACTTTTCTCTTCCCAAAACATTATGTGTTCAAAAGAGTGATATTTTTGCATCCCAAAAACATTGTAGTGGAAAAAGTCACACGTCGTTATCAATTGGTCATATTTTCTCTCTGTTCGTATCAGTGCGCACCGTCATTCAGACAGCGAGCTCAACAACAGCCAGATGCATGTCTCCCTCCGCCTAGCTCCTAGCTGGGCGGAGGGAGACATGCATCTCTTTTGAGACATGCATCTCTTTCTCACTCTTTTGAACACATAATGTTTTGGGAAGAGAAAAGTTTTATTTCGCTGTTCCTAAAAACCTTCCGGACTACTTTCGGCTTGACCAAAACTGGACGATAACTCTGCTCACAGGACGCTGCCAGGGGTAAGTCAGTGTGATTGCATGCCACTGGTGATGGGGATGCCATACAGATTCATGTCAAAAATACCGAACTATCCCTTTAAAGCTGTTGTAATGACAGTAATGCAAATAAAAATAAAGCAGCAATATTTTTTTTTATTTAATATGTTGAATATTTAACAATACCAAACAATAAGCAACGTTCCTAAGCACTGATGCTAGGGCCCGATTTTATTAGGAAGAAACTAATCCATCCTCCAGGTCATTTGATTTGCAGCTCTGTAAACTAAAGAGAGGAAGCATTGGTAGGAGTGAATTTATCGGTTATTTAGAAAATTAATCCAGATATTTACTGATGCGTCAAAAAGTCAGTTGAGTGTAGGAGTCGCTTTTGTTATTCCAGACACAGTCAAGCAACACAAATTTAAATGTTCTATACTTTATTGGAGTAATTATTTTTATACAACTTTTTCTTCTCCTTTTTCTTTTCTTTTTTTCCGCAATTATCTCTATTTTCTTCTCCTTTCTTCTCCTATAAACACACACACACTTGTTAGTTTTGTTTAATTAAAGCTAATTTTACTTATGGCCTGTTGGTATTTGAAGGAAATAAAAACTATGAAAATAATTAGTTTCATCC